CTTTCTTATCCGCTTATGCACTTCGTTAGGATTAACGGTTGTAAGATAGACACAAAGATAACAGAATATGTGACAGAAATTAGGGCTTGTAGGGGACATAGAGACTCGGAATACATAGTGACTACACCATTTTACTAATACTTGACCGTAGACTATCTTAAAGTTTTCATGGGAGGGTAAGCTAACAATGTCTTTAGTCGAGATGTATTGGCATGAAGGGAGGGTGCATGTTATGGAGTATAACAACGATTGTAGAAATGTAGCACAGACAGAAGAGACGAGGACATACGTGACGACCACCTTGAAGTAAACAGTCAGCGAACAGTCACGAATGAACCTGACTTGACTGGTCATAATGAAATCAAAGAGTGTGAACTTGACTTTTAAAGTATAGAAGGACAGGAGCTCGTAGAGTTCAGGGATAATGGATAATCCATATACCACAAACATTCTTCTGGATCAAAAGGCTTGTCAATTTAATACGATAGTTTGGTGGTGTCGGCTCTGTGGCTAAGTCGATGCGAACGCTTCGTAATGCCGGGGTGCCGGGTTCGATCCCAGCTGCGGGCCATGCGACTTGCGTTGGTTTCGACAGTGGTTATCGGGGGGCCGACTGTCCAGAAGCAATGGCAAACTACTGGACGTAAATTTGCCTTGAGAAACCACACAACAGCCAGGGGCTGCTGGGGTTGGTTCTGCAACGTCCTGTTAAGGATCTGCAACTAAAAGAAAGAAGAACGTTTGGTGGTACAATCATAGCTTATGAGTGCTTATTTTCTTGTGTTTATTACCGCTACTAGCCTTGACTGGGTACCTGGTATAGTCGTGGGAAGTAAAGGCGGTTGACCACATCACCTATCAAGTGCCCAATACACCTGGAGGCGTGGGAAAGGGTTTTTATTTTATTTATTTATTTTCTACTTTTTTAATAATGTGTATATTGAACAGTGTTTTATTCTAGTTAGCAGTTTCCCTGTAGTAGTATGTGGTGCTTTATTATCGGCTGTTAGGTTTTCACATATCACATGGTTGCTGTACAATCGCTTGATATAGTCACGATGGCTACCAAGCGCCGTCGCCACTAGTGAAGTTCTACTAACGCGAAAGCCATTTACCTCTGACGAATCTCACAGTCAGATTGTCTACTGGGGTACTAGTAGAAGGCCCAAAAGGTGGTCGCTTGGACCTAGAAGCTGGATCATCGCCATGGATCCCGAGGAAAGGGTTGCTGATTTGTAAAGGACCTCCGGGGCGGTTGGGCAAAAAACCACCCAGGGGACCTCATCTGGTTATTGTTAAGAGACTGAATGATAATGAACTAAAATATGAGATTTCAGTCAAGTGAGGGATGATTAAGTGCATAATTTGACTGTCTATAAGTTCTAGACGATACGAGAGCAGGTGAGGAGTTTCTCCTAGACCCGTGTTCCCAAAGTGGGTTGATAGAAAGGTCCGGAGGTGGGGCCGTAGCGACCTCGGTCAGATGTGTGGGCTGTTGAGGTGGTAGTAGCTTTATGTGCACTTGGGAGGTACTGCATGAAAATAAGACAGCGGTAGAGAGAGAGAGAGAGAGAGAGAGAGAGAGAGAGAGAGAGAGAGAGAGGGAGAGGGAGAGGGAGAGAGAGAGAGAGAGCTGCAAACCGAGAGAAAAAACAATTTTATAAACCGTTTATAATTTTTATAATTTAGCGTAATAGATTAAAGTTTAATTTTTTATATTGAATAAAAAAGCATTATGTAATAACCAATCAGGTTCGCCAATTCTCATTAACCTTAATGAATACGTTATTCTTTAGTTTTGTTTCATCATCCCCATACTTTGACACTGAAACTTCCACAAGCAGTACTTATTCACACCATGTATTTTTGAAAAAGAGACTTTCTGTACCAGCGTTTTGACAAAACGTATTTAGACGGCTTCTTATACAGATTGTTCAACTGTTCAGTCAATAAAACAGAGAAGTAAGTCTCCCAGAGTGGTCTAAACAAAAACAAAAGCCAAGGCTAGTCATGGTTTACATAAATGACATCTCTAAATGTTGTCACCAGCAAGCCTCCAACAACCAACATGAGCGAGAGCTATATAGAACCAAAGCTTGTCTATGATCTGGTTTAGACAACAAACTGAAAACTGTATTTCAAAGAGTTGGGTCTGAATCTTTCATTGACATTTTTTTCGTCTTTTCATACGATTGTATTATATTGCCAGGTGTAGGAATCACAGCCAGTTAAAGTTAGGAATAAAATTCATTTTATCGGGAGCACAAAACATGCACCTTTTTGTAGATGCCTAGTGTTGTCCATGCAGCATTATTCCTCTCTGAGTCTGCTATGTTTATTCCAAAGAATATGTGAGGCAAATATGCTTGGAACAAAGCAGCAAGCAGAAGTTACTGGATAAAAAAAGCAGTGTTCTTTCTGTCCGTATCTCGGAGCTTTCCTCCTAGACCAACCGCCAAACTAGCATATGGGTTCAGTCTGCCTTGCAGTAACATATTTTTTAGAATTAATTTCCTTGTCCTAACACAAATAAGGCTAATCTTCTCCCCAATGCACTTCTTCATCTGAAGTGATTGACACAATGTTGGATGGCAGGCATGGTTATGTCGTCCAATATTCTGTGAGAACAGAGACAATAGTACCGACAATTGTTATACAGTAAAGTCAGGAGACGGGAACCAGCGTCATTGCACATGGTTATAAACCAGAAGTGCTCTGCCATCAGTACGGACAGCTGATAAGAATTGTCCGCCTGTGTCGCCGTTCGCACGTAACTCTGTAGCTACAGCGACGTTCCTTCATTTACCCCAGAGTATCAACTCTGGTACCCATTTCCTAGAGGCTGGGTGAACCTCGGGAGCCGCCCGGTTTCGAACACCGACCGTGGCTACCGCGAATCGCGGCTGGATTTGAAAGCGAGCCTACTATCGACTGCGCTAACGCGGCTCCCGTTATACAGTAGCTCAACCATCTCGGTCTAAAACTAAAACAAACAAAACTGTCTGGAGCAATATATTTTCTCTCATCCACATAAATAAATACTATTCATAATATTAGAAAATAAAAAAAAATTTTAATTGTAACATGTTTTTGTGTATTACCTGGGTACATTTAAAAAAAAAAACTACCATATAGTAAAATACTAATTGTAAATCCACACCAACAAAAAATAAAATAACTGAACAGTATACAAACACACTCACGCAGGCGAAGGAAAGAAAAGGAAGGGCTTACAACAACAAAAACTGTTAACTATTTTTTCTTCTTCTTAGTATTCAGTCTGTAAACTCCGGCGGAAAGTTCTGGGTGTTCTGTCACTTCTGGATATTGCTCTTTTCCCAGAATTTTAATTTTGCGTTCACATCATTTATAAAAAAAAAAAAATTCTTTTTTTTTTTTAAATTTTTTTAATGACTTTTGGTTGTTTACATCTCAGGCAGCTGCACTCCGACTTTGAAGAAAGCAACACTATTTAATCGCCTCATACGGCATGCTCATTAAAGGAGGCAGTAGGTCATTCTTCAACAAAATTGGGTCCAAGAATCCACACGGGGAAGATTGCTTTATAAAACAGAAAATATAGTGATATAAAAGTTTGAACAACACCAGCTTTACTGAATAATAAACATAAAAAGCATACAATTAAAATATTAATTTTCAAAACTTATAGGTGGAAAGAAAACTGACATTATCGCATTACTTGTTCCTGATTTAAGAAATTACATCAGGGCTGTACGACTGGAGGGCCAGAATGTTGAAAATGGAGATTGTCATTGGCCACGGACTCCAGCACCAGCGTAGACAAGTAAATAGTTGGCAATATTCCGCGCGCCATTTGCTAGGTTATGCAAGCCAGATTAGGTCGAAAGTTGAATAGTCCTGATATAAATGCACAACGGGCATACTAAAAGATGTTCCACCTCAAAAATGAGAAATAATTAGACAACAGAAAACAAAGTCCAGGCGCTATGCAGGATAAATTCCGCCTTTTTTTTTTTCGAGAATTCTTTAAGGAAGGCACTGTCATTTACACAGACGTGTCTGTTTTTCGCCATGTGAGAAGCTCGTGTGCTTTTACGGCTCATGTTGAAAGAGAGTTGTGAAGTCTAGGGCTGTTGCCTTGACTACAAGTAATCTGACTTTTGTAGTCATAGCAGAGTGGCAAAAGAAATAACATGGTTGGAGACACAGACTCACCCACGCATGCTTTCTCTGTGACTCAATTAGTATACTCAGGACGACAGAGATGGACTGGGCTCGAAGAAAGTGGTTGCTGATCGGCTTCATATTCGCGCCACGGCACTCAGATTTGCGAGGAAATGAGCAAGCTGAAATGACCAGGCCGATATATTTAATGCTCTAGGAGAAGTAAAACGTTTGCGAGAACCAGGTGACCGTAAATCTGAAACCAAGATCAGACTGCCAAAAAAATGGCAAGTTAAAAGAGGTCTGACCAGATTTCTCACTGAATAGACTGCATACCATGGGTATACCAACTGGAGCAGCGAGACAGGAAAGTAATATGGGAGCCATCCGTCGGTACATCAGCCAGAACAGAATGGGAGTTATTGGCCTAAAAACACTTGGGGGAGCAGTTATGGTCAAGTCCGATGTGCGATGAAGATGATCTCAAAAAATGAACAATGCACAGACAAGAGCACTATACAGGAAGCTAATAAAAACAACACAGGACTGGTGTTATCATGCGAGATTTACCGAGAAGTTCTGAGGACTTATGGACTTCTTCTTCTTCGTCTTCTTTCATTCGCTTGAAGTAAATTATCTATATCTGCAATGCTGTCTCTAGTTTAAAAGTTAGTGTCGAGAGGATCGACTTCATTGCACCGGGTTTATCCCATATGCCTCGGTCGCTCTCCACATATAATTGTTTCCTTTGAAACCCGCCCAATGATTTTTCAATTTGTTTATATTTCGGGGGTTAAGAAAGGGGGAGGGGAAGGGGCGTTGGGGTTAAAAATTAAAAGCTTTACATTTAATAATCAACCTATGGTGTTCTCTCGCTTGATCACCATGTGAGCCCCAGGGGACGTGTCGACCCACACGTGAGGGTTGGGGGAGAACTTGGCCTTGTACGCTGAGGTCATTCGTGTTAGCCGCATCACCATGTCCTCTACCTGCTGCTTGTTCATTGGTTGCAGACCCAGGTACCTGCGGTCAAGGCCGGGCAACAGCTGAGGACAGAGAATAGTTAGTTGATTGTCAATTTTACAAAGTAAAGTGAGAATTTAAACAAACGTTAGTCTCCCCAAACAAAGTAAGTCACGTTCCATTGATAATTTTTTTTTAGACTGGTCTGCCTTAGCGGAGGTTACAAGTGTGCCGCTTTGTTGTTTGCTTTCTGGATTGTCTTGCATTTACGTTTTTATTCCGAGAAAGAGAATGCCTGTGACATAGGTTTCGTCATTCTCTAAAGGGATTGGGTATTAGACCCAGTTTGTCGATGTTTTTAGAGTGTTAAAATCGCTGGCATGCTGAAATACACAACATGCGATATCAACGACATTGCTGAACACCCCCGTAACATTGTGCCAAGGACACGTGGCTCAATGTCGACCAATTAGAAGTGAGCTAGACTGAAGGTCGACCAATCAAAAGTGAGCTAGTGTGTAACACTGTGTAAATGGGGAGAGCAACGTTACTATTACCGAAATGTGAATACAATCCGGTTGTCTTGCCTCGAGCCAAAAACGTACAGCCATAGCAGATACATCTGATTGTGTTCGAAGTTTGGAAAGTTTGTTCATTATTCTGCTCATGTTTTTTTTTTCCCTTCATTTGTACATATTGTTTATTGTGGCAATTGTCATGTTTTCAAACACACATAACTGTCTTGTAGCAAAAATAAATCACATAAACATGTCATAGCATTTGTCTGGTGGTCTCTCGTGGCCTGGGTCAAGTACAGGTCTCTTTGAAAAGAACGTTAAGCTGGGCTGCGATATCTGCGCCTTCCGGTCCAATAAATATGATGTTAAGCCGAATAATCAGCGATACTAGCACTCCTTAATTACCGGATAACGGTCAGGCATGAGACTGTCCTCTTATCTTGAAATAACAGCAAGATAGTCTGGAACCACAGTGGTTGAGTTCAGGGGTAATCGGAAAAACAATGTGAGAAGCTGCTCACAGAAAAGCTAGATCCTGCGTGTTCAGGCTCTTCCAGAGAACACCACTTCGCCCTTTCTGCTTTAATATATATATATATATAATATTTTAAGGAGACTTCTTGTAATATGAAAAGTACAAATCCTTTAAGAGGTAATTTATATACTGTACATGTCTCCCCCTGTGGATTCCTGGCCAGTGGGATTAAGGGGGGGGGGGGATTAGACTCACTGTCTCCCTAACAAGCATGTCGTAGGAGTCAGGGCCGGAAATGGATTAACGCAAAACAATCACATTTCTGGCTGATATCGTCGAAGAGAGAAGACATACATTTAAAAAGGCAAAACAGGACAGACATTAGTAGTTATTTAATTAAACGCAGTTGCGAATGTCGGCTTCTGTGACTTAGGGGTTGCAAACGCTTTTCGTAATGTTGGGGTGCCGGGTTCAATCACAGCTGCGTGCGTTTTGTGTTGGTTTGGACAGGGGTATCGAGAGATAGTTTAGAAAGCAATGGCGAACGTAAATTTGCCTTAAAAAACTGCAACAACCTAAAAATGCTGGGTCTGGTTCTGCATCGTCCTGTAAAGAACACGCATCCCGTGGGTTACTTGGGTCCACATCATCATCATCAGGTGCCTTGCCGACTGGCGTGGGCAATCATGCCTCTCCATAATTTGCGATCTCCTGCAGCATGTATCAGTTCATGTGCCGACACACCTCCATGCCATGCAACAAGACTGTCAAGCATCTTCTCTCATTGTCTTCCTCTATCCCTCCTTCCACAGATCTTTCCAGTGGTCACCACATGTTCTATTTTTCCTATTTTCCACAATGGAAGAAGAAAATCATGGAAGCATTGTAACCTACAGTTAGCTAAAGTTAGTTGCGTAACCTTTACATGATTTACGAACGCTCTATAATTATGTCTTAATGTTTTACGTTCTAATGTTAATTCTCTCCTTATGGTTTTCAGGATTTCCGCATCTCTTCTGGCTCGTAGTTTTCAGTGCAAGGACATTCTATTTCTACGACTGTGCGGTCTACTTAGTCTTTGTTCTATCCAGCGCCTGCAACTTTTTCTTACCTCTTGATTCACAGGAATTCGTTTAGTTTTCTCCCGGACCTTTCTATTATTAATCCATCTATTCTGCACAGGCACCAATTAGGGATCAAAAATAAACTTGGCTCCCAGGTCGACCCAACCTTGAGTGGTTACCGGGTGCAGTCCCGGGAAGTACAGGCGGCCGGCGTGATGCTGACCACATCACCCATCTTGTGCCGATTGGTCTATAAAAATATAGGTCTAGACCTATATGCCCTATGTGCCTAAAGGCGGGGAAAAGGGTCCTTTACTTTACTTTTCTTTAATTACTTACTTACCAATTGAGGAATGCCTAGTGATTGTTTTAGTCGTTCAATGCTGTTAGGTTCTACACGGCTGAGCTGCTTTGATGTTAGAATTAAATATTCTTCCCCATATTCCCTTAGTGATTAAGAAGCTTTCATATTTTAAAAATTACTTAAGAAATATTTACAATACTGACGCTGTTAGTTTAAACATACAACCACAGTTCCTCAGAGAAACAAATTATGATGAATACTTACTACTTCCTTTTCATAATCTTGTCCTGTGTGTCTTCTTTCGTTGACACGGTGTTTCCCTCCTAATTTGTTACAATATGTCTCCGAGAGCTGTCCAGACTCATCTTCTCTGCCTGTTTGATTCTCCTGTTGACAATCTTTAGCCTGCAGTCTTATCAATCTCCTGGGTCGTTGCCCCATTAATCGATGGTAACTAGTCATATAAAACTTGCCATCACCGTGTGCAGACTGATTTTCTGCCATCGATGATTCTTCTCTTAAACTGGTTCCTGTGTTGGAAGATTTCTGCAGCGATTTCCTAACCGGCTTCACGTTGGCACCAATGTCCCAGTAATGCTGGAAATGGTTGACCCAGGAGTCAAACCGCGGGTCAGGCGGAGGGGGAAGTTTATGAGGGGCAAGACGACTGACCAGTTTCTGTTCGCGGTCAGCGCTTGGAATCTGCCAGGGCCCAAATAGTCTTCTTTCTTCAGCAATCGTGTCCGTGCAGCTTCCGATACTGTTTCGTAGTTTGTTTTTGTCACTGTTATCATATCCTATGTACGGAAGGTGGGTTCCCTGACTTACATCCACAGACCAGGCTTTATGGTCGGTCTGATCTCGTTTCATTTGATGCCGTTTATGTTCCATTGAGTTGTTTCCCCTCAGAATACGCCGCTTGCTGAATTCCACATTATCTACACCTCTATTCGGAAAGCTTTCATTGGGCGGGTTTTTATGAGTGTTCTGATGTACTGTGTTCATGCTAGCTCTGGGTATACATTCAAATAACCTTTTTCACATCTGCAATGTAATAATAAATAAAATAATAAAATAGTAGAACTAGGAACAAAACCATAAACAAAAGCAGTACGTGGAATCTAGTGACGAGATTACTATTAAGAATTAGCTTGAGTTGAGTTGTTTAGTCATTCCCATGCTTGCTCTGTCCCCATCTTCATCCAGCGTAGAGTTCCAATACTGATGGTACCGGTCACAATCTGGTTAAACATCCGTCTTGCTTTTTCTCTTAATATACTATTAAAAATAAGAATTATCTTATAATATCTGTCGTTCTAAAATGGAACGTATTTTTTTGTTTTTGTTATTTTAAAGCTGCACCTCGGCTATTGTCGGGACCCCTAATATAACCTAACGGTTGAGCTTCTGGGAACTTTCCCCGGGTGATCCTCATCCGCGTAGTGGCACTTGGTAGAGTTGAATCTCGCTCATTTAGAATAAGCATTACAAATGGTACCTTTGAAACTTGCAGCTAATTGTATATATCTTACTAACTTTATTACTAACTTCATTCATCAGACAGAACGACCGATAGACAGAAAAACAAACACATGCAGACAGAGAGGCAATACATCCACACAAATTTAGTCGCGAGAAAGTTTTACCTGAATCTTCAAGAAAGACTCTTCCTTGACTTTCCCCCCACATTGATTCAGTCGCAGCGCTGAAAACAAAATGTGTTACTGAAATCGGAGATACAGATTTCATTTATGTCCTTTTGCTTCCGCCTTTCAATCAAGAAACCTGGCATTGGTCGCTATAATCTACCTACTTCACATATTCCTAGCAATGGAAGACAGCAGGTTGACAACGTGTGGCTTTGTTCTCCACTTGTTGATTGCTCTGGGGGTGCTAAGACACTCCTAATCTGTAGTTATTGATTTATGTAGAGTCATGGTAATTTATATATGTCCATCACAGACAGGTTGTTTTTTTTAAATGTGTTACCCACTAGGAGGGCAGTTTGTGGGATTATCATCTAAGGATGAGAATGAAACAGATAAAAATCCCGGAACTCCCGTTTAACTCTTTTAGAACTAAGAATTTACTCTTTAAAGGCTCAACATCTTGTGATAAAAAGAGTTAAAAAAACAAATGTGTGTAATCTGTACCACACCAGGACATCACACAGAGCGATAAACACAAAGTGCCACATTGCGGAAGAGGATCACCCGTGGAGAAGTCAAAGAAACCCCGTTCAGCCGTTAGGCCATATTTAAGGCCCGACTATATTCAGGGGCCCCGGAAAAAGCCAGGATGGGGCTTCAGATAACAACAGATTGCCTCCGACATGGGGACAGCATGGTTTATTAAAATAATAAATGTTTGGCACTGACAATTATTCACAATACATATTACGTAAAAGTAAATAACATGTTTTCATTATTCATACTCTTCCCCTAGAGGGTTTCAAGGCCTAATTTGGAGCGGGCAAGACAGATCCACTGCCGCTCAACAATAGATGCACTACTACGACATCAAAGAAAGATCCCAGTTGGTCGACTCTTGCAACATGCTTGTGTGTGGGAGGAGGGGGGGGCAGTGGTCTATTCCTGGTTTACCTACAAAGGGACCCCGCAACCCACAATCTATCTATATCCTCTTCATGTCGCTGTTGATACATAGGGCATTCACATGTGATTTCCATTGCTGCCGGTCTGCTGCTTTTCTGCCCATGTATCCCATATCAGTTTACATTCCTTCATTTCCCGTTTTATTGTCCTTCTCCAGGTTTTCTTAGGTCGTCCACGTCTCCTTTTCCCATCTGCTGTCCACAGGAGAGCTGTTTTGTCAGAGTGTCACAACGCATTCTGCAAACATGTCCAAGCCATCTCCATCGTCTTACTTTGATAACATATGCCAGTGATGAACATTCGGTTTTCCTCCTCAGTTCTTGTTTGGCCAAAATGTTCGTTGAATTCTCTTTAAACATTTATTTTGATAAGTCTCAAGTTTATGTGTAAATCCCGCTGTAATTTCCCATCATTCACTGTTATATAACAGTATTCGTAAAATGTTGCTCTTGTATATTCTTAGTTTTGTCTTCAAACTAAACCCCTTTGACTTCCATATATTGTTAAGCCTGGCAAATGCTTGATTTGCTTTGCTTATTCTTGATGTTACATCCTTTTTTGAATCTCCATCTGCAGTAACTTTACTTCCGAGGCAACACACAATAGGAGTCATTAATTTAATGGAATTCAACTCTCGGTTCAAGCAAAAATCAGAAATGGTGGGGTCGGGGTGATGTTCTGACACAGGTGCAATGGTGCACGGGGTCAAAAAAGATGAGAACCATTGATCTAAAGATAGCAGTTCCCAGAGATTAGCTGTCGCTCTAACACCGCAGACAAAAACAACAGGGTTACAAATCAAAAAGTACACCGCAGGTGGTGTTTTAACTTTGAAAGGGAAAGTGCAGCTTTACAATTAAAGTTTACTTCTTTCTTGTCAACAGCTTGTTGTCCGGTCTCTGGGATACATTCAGCTTTTCTGATGATCTGCGCTGGTGGCCTTGTAGCAAAGCAACTCTGTTTTCGTATCTGTTTGTCTTAAGTCTGTCCCAGACAACAGTTACTTTAGACTGATCACACATAAAAACAGTCACTGTGAAACTAGGTAAAAAACGGAAAACATAGCCAAGAGAGGAACGTTTCGACTGAAGTCTCGATCAACGAATTATAACAACAGGAATACTTTACTACAGAAGCCAAACAATACAGTGATTACAAAAATATCCGAACCACCACAAAATGGAAACAACAAATCGCTCAACCTAAACTAAAGCTCCGTACATTTGATCAGTAATGGCTCTGTGTAAAAAAATGTTTTGATTGTTACTTGTGCATGTGTGTGTGCGTGCGTGCGCGCCAAAGCTATTAACTATCACTACTATGTTCCTTGCAAAATGTCAGTATCGGATCAGCTGTTAGTTGTTTGTTTTTCCTGGTGCCATTTAGCCAAGCCATCCACGTATGTGTCTTCTTGACATTTTCCCAAGCTTGCTGCCGATGCTTCCCACGTGGGCTCCTGGGCCTCAATGTTGGTGAGAAGAAGAAAGGGCCCACTGGCCCCGTCACAAGTATGTCGTAAAAGGCATCTAAGCAGCTGTTTGCTGAAATCTAATATTGTGGGCTAAAAGTCGTAGGCTTGCTGTAAGCACCTGTCTTCTTCTTCGCGTTCACCGGCTGTAAACTCCAGCAGAAGTTCTGGTTGTTCGTCCACTTCTAGAACCTAGTTCTATTCCAGAAACGGAATGTTGTCTGCACATCCATTTCACAGGTCTGACCTTTTGCATTCACACTGTTAGTTTCTTGTCTTTTAGGCAGATGTACTCCGACTTCGTGGGAAGATCCCAGTAAGTCGAATATTACGACATGCGTGTATGCAGGCAGGGGGTCTATTCTTGTTTTCGCCACAAAGGGACCCCGGAACCGACACGGGGAGTAAACGCCTCTTCTGTTTAAGAAAAGTTCGGCCTCGTTCAATCCCGTGTTAAGCGCCCTTTTACTGCTGTTTCTTCTCTTCGTTGTCAGGATTTGCAGCCCACGGTCTACAATGTTTGTAAACTGGTGGTACTTTGCTTTGAGGCGCGCTGAGTGGTGCTCAACTTATGGTGTCATCGACTTCTTTTGCTGGAGGTTGCAGCTTCAAGCCCCGGTGGTGGCTAGGACTGGCTTTTTTTAACGCTGACTGTAAACTAATTTCCCCTGGTCTCTGGGCAGTAAGATCGGACTTCTTTTGTGTGTTTTGTTCTGCGCACGTAAAAAAAATGGCTTTGGCTTCGGGAATCAAAAGCTGTAAAGCCTAAAGGCGGTAGTTCCCGGGCAAAATTTTGATTTGCAGTTCTACCCAAAGCATTTCATAATCCTGGCTGGAGTTCGTGCAGTGCCCTCTTGCGGAAATTCTGATAGTTCAGTCGAATAAACATACAGTTTTATATTATAGTTTTAAATGCTGTTTTTTTTTTGCTTTATTTGCTACTTCTGCGGCTTGTCGACCCTATTCATCGGAACTCCGCTACACAGATGCAGTTCTACAGTCTCTAATTCGAACAGCTTTTGCTTTGCTTCGAACACTTTAATAATTGTCTTGCCAAAAGCACAGTGAAGATCGAAATCTTTTTTTTTTAATTTAAGGTCTGTTAATTTAATGTAAACAGATTTTGCTTTGTTCCCCAAAAATAACTGTAAACTGATGAGGAAATTGAAAATGTTCACAAACTTTGCATGTCTAGGCTCTATAATAAACAACAATGAAGAGTGTTCGACAGAAATTAAAAGGAGGATGGCTATAGCAATGCAAAGTTTGAACAGCCTTAAAAGTCTATAGTTAAGCACCAGAAGGACTGATAAGAAAACTACTTTTGAGAGCAAAAAAGTCTTCCCTGTGGCTTTCATACTGATTGTGAGACGTGGACTATCTCTCAGTAAATAAGAAAGAGAATAGGGGCTTTTGAGCTGAAATGCTTTAGAAAGATTCTCAGAATATCTTGGACAAAGAAGATCAATTATTTGACATATTAAAAGATCTGAACATCAAAGTTTGGCTTATAAACAGCATATTTTATTGAAAGCTGAAATATTTTGGTAAATATTTACCTTAAAAACGACGGATTGTTCTAAAATTGTAGCAAAAAGGCATGGTACTGAAGAATTTGTGTATACATCTCCTGACACGACTGATAGGAGCAGGATATAGTGAATTCTTGACAAGTGAAAGTCCCCATGAGGCGGGAAAACTGGAGATGGCCGTGGTTTTTTCCTGGTGCAGACTGTGCCATGCCAGCCACGTTCTGCAAAGGACCTGCTACATGATGATGATGATGATGATGCAGCTAGTCGGGAACGTCTTTAATCAGGTTTCGCAGCATGGCTAGTGGTATCGATACAGACTGTAAAGATTATGACTTTATTTTGCCCACAGAACAGAAAACATGCCATCTCACCGGCTTATCGAAAGTT